ATACTGCTTCTGTTGATTTTCCTTAATGCTGTTTTGCTTGGTGAGTCAGAACTAGCTGAACACAGTTGCTCTGATGCTAACAGAAAGATATTCTGCTCGGATTATTCTTAGTGAATTGGAAGATCGTGATATTCTTCTGTAAAATGAACACTGTGATGGCTGAGCATATTTGTGACGTAGCCAGCCTGCTAGTCTGCCGATAAACCCAAGTGGGTATCACTACAGTGCTCCCATCAGGGAGGAGCTAAGTGCATGGCTCATTGAGTCACATTCTCCTTGCCTCAAATACTGTCTAGAAGTAAACCTCTTTGGAGGCCAGTGTTAACTCCTTCAGGTTATTAGGAAGCTTAGCAGTGTTTAGCAAACTTTTGTCCACTGAAGAAGAAACCTGTTTACACTGGTGATATTCAGGCGGCTGAGGGATGCACTGGAAGGTCAGTAAAAGGTGAGCTAGAACTTAGACTTTAAAGATTCCTGCTAAGATCCACAGTGTATTAATTTTGAGGAAGAAGCTAAAAATCTTGAATATAATCAGAAGCAAAGAAGGAGTTCAGAATGGTGGTTTTTCAGCAAGAGAGTTACTTATTTATACAGCAAGGCAGCCAACTCTGTTAGAAAATACTTCAGAGATGACTAAGAATGTTAACATGAAGCCAAGACTATTTTGAGGTGGATCCTAGAATTGAGAGCTGGCATGTAAAAGGTTCTATTAGAAAGATTCTGAATTCTCAAGTAGAAATCAGTCTGGACTTCCCAAATATTTTCTCTTTTCTTGACGGTAGACATACTCCTCAGGAGAGCAGTTTAGTTCATCCGAACTCAGAGTGCCCAACACAGAAGATCAAATCAAAACAACTTCAGCTGTCCCCAAGACTTGTAAATGAATGGCATGCAGTGTATCTTGTCCTTGCTGTTCTTGGAGTTTCTGAGGGGTGCTTTTGCAAAATTGAGTGGCAAATCCAAACGGACAGGTATATTGTAACTTATACTAAATGGATTCACAAGTCAAGTCATGTGTACAGAATGACATGAACCTTGCCTTTTATGCTTAACATCTTTTCCTGCTTCAGTTTGCTTTTAATCATGAAGTACACTTTTTCCAGTATAAATGAAACCTTGTAATGATAAGAAAAACAAAGGTTTCGAAAGCTGTAAAGAAGGAAAGAGCAAACCCACCCAAAGTCCTAGCATCCAGAAGCAATGCGATCTGCTGTTGATATGGTTCCTCACTTCTTCCCAAGTCACATTTTTTGGTTCTATATATACCATTTATATCTGGTTTCACATTTTTACGTAACTTCTAAACTTAAGCATTTTTCAAGCTATTGACAACTCTGTGGATACATTTTAATGATTATATAATGATATGCAGTTTAGTTATTCAGCTAATGAACATTTAGTTTGTTTCAATTTTTCCCCACAGTTGTCAGTCAGGCTGCAATAAATATGTTTGTTCTTTACCCCTCTTTGGCATCTAGCGGAGAATGCATTCTGATAGTAACACCCCCTCTGATTCTGTTTCAGTAAGAATGTTTACAATGTAACTAGCATTTATTCTTTCCATTTAGCTTTCTTTAAAAAAAAAATGGCATAGCTAAAAGAGTATAGGTTTTCTTGCTACAAACATGAAAAGAAACCGAACAATATCCCATGCTATCGGATATCCTCTAGGCTCATCTACGGCTTAATATTCCTTTACAATCCCACGTTACTACAGGCTGGAGGTATCCTGTAAGAAATCAATCCTATAGAATTCACACAGGTAAGTCTACTATAAAAAAAGAACTGGCGGCACCTGGGTGGCTCAGTCAGTTGAGCATCCAACTCTTAATTTTGGCTCGGGTCATGATCTCACGGTTCAGTTCTTGAGTTCGAGCCTGCGTGGGGCCATGTGCTGACATTGCGGAGCCTGCTTAAGCTTCTCCCTCTCTCTCTGCCCCTCCCCAGCTCGCACTCTCTCTGTCTCTCTCAAAATAAATAAAATTGAAAAAGAAAAAAGAACTATGCTTTATCACCTACTACAAACAACATAGCACAGAAAGAGCTAAAGAATGTTTAAGGAGAGGAGCACTATAGTACTTTAGGAACATAGCCTTTTATTAAGGAACAAGTGCAGCTAATGTCATTCAAATTACTCTGAACTACTATGTTTTAGGATATATTCCACGTAATTTAATTTTCATAATGGATTGGGCTGTTTATTCCTTTGAAATGAAAAAGAAATCTCATTATGAACCTGTGAACCATTCTGAAGAAAATACAAAAACAAAAAGTGACCTTTAATGTCCTTTTTAAGTCTGAAGTTCTGTGAAAACAGTAAGGTTAGGAAATGACCTGTATTTTAATGAACAAAATGTTTGAAATGATACTAAAAATTTCTAAGTGATCTAATTCTGAATCCAACAGGATTCCAAGTTTTGATGGTTTTCCCTCAAAATTCTTCACATCTGTCTATTCTTTTTGCCCCCTCCTCCAAGCTCCCATATTAGCTACTGCTTTTTGCCTCAAAATCCATATAAAGACTTACAAATCCTATGTGTGCACCACTGTATTAATATTAATACACTATAAAGTTACACAAAAAGAAATGAAAAGGCATAAAGTTAAATACAAATACAAATATTTGAGAACTGCTGGATTTGATAATGGCATTGAATGGATATTAATTTCATTTGTATGTAAGTTTCTTCCTTGTTTATAGAAAATATACACTGATGTACTTAGAGGTAAAGGGATATCATATCTGCAACGTACAATCAAATGGTTTGAAAAGACATAAACAGAGAAAATAAAGAAGGTGGTAAGACAAATGAAATAAAATATTGACAACTGGGGGAGGGGTTAGGTGAAGGGCACTTTTGTAGATTTTGAAATTATTTCAAAATAAAAAGTTTTAAGTGTGTGTGTGTGTATAAAGTTGAAGTATATCTTCTTGCCTCCAGTGGATGGCCTCGCACACCCCTTGGGTTCTACCCTCCAATCTGGGATCAGCTGGCCCAGAGTCTAGTAACAATGTCCACATTGGTCTCTTGGCCTCTTTTCGCCCTCTTTTTATCTAACCTCAACCCGTCTGTCAGTGACCTTCCTAAAGTATAAATCTGATGATGTCACTCACCTTCTTTAAAATCCTCTATGATTCCAAATTGGCAAGAGAACCAAGAAACCTACTAGGTTATCACAGGAGGCTTTTCATTGTTTGGTCCCATTCTTCATTAATGGCCTATGTTGCAGCCACAGGAACTACTCCTCGCATTTGTAGTTGTTATTGCAAATAGTGTTTCTTCTCACTGGAATGGTCTTCCTTTGTCTGCCTTTTCTACTCCTCTTTAAACTCAAAATTTTATCCTCTGGAGTCACTGCTGACCTTGAGGTCAACCACTTCCCCCATAGCAGCAATTGAATTGCATTTTAGTGACTTACTCTCTTGAGTTTAGCTCTATCCAGTTGCTAGAGACTAGTGATTGGTCATACTCTTCTCAGGATCTGTTGCCACCTGGTTGATTATGACAGAACAATGCATGGCGTGTAGCGGTGAAAGCCCGTGGGATAAATGAATGAACAGAAGCCTACCCCAAAACTTCCGCAGAAGACTTTACATGTTCTGCCTGGTGGCACATACAGCTTTACAAAGAGATCTGCTTAAGGAAGGAGATGCCCTTTATCCAAGATCAAATACTCAATGTCTGAGGATAGAATCCTGAATTTAAAATCACACTACGATTAGCGACGGGACTGGTAAAATGACCCAGTGTCCAGCAACCCTGACTGCTGTGTAGACGATAACTGGATCATGATGGTTATTTACGTTGAACTTTGATCTGTGGCGGTTGTATGAAGTACAAGATTTTCAGTCAATTGGTGCTTGGCAGCTGACTCTTAGTAAGTCTTTCTAATCTTTAAGAGATTTACTTTTATTTCAATTTCATTTAAATTCGCTAAAATTAATGGGGTGCCTGCGTGACTCAGTTGGTTAACCATCCAACCGTTGATTTTGGCTCAGGTCATGATCTCACAGGTTCGTGAGTTTGAGCCCACATCAGGCTCTGTGCTGACAGTGCAGAGCCTGCTTGGGATTCTCTCTCTCCTTCTCTTTCTCTCTCTCTCTCTGCCCCTCCCTCTCTCTCTTTCTCAAAATAAGTAAACTTCAAAAAAATTTTAAATGAACTTTCTAAAATTAAAATTTTATTAATGTCTCATCTAGTAGTTAATATGAATTTTCTCCTTTAAGTTACAGTGTAGTGTTGTATTTATTTATTGCCTGATTTTGGACCATTCTTGCATTCCTTTACCAAGCCTTCCTCGGTCAAGACACTATTCTGATAGGAATGTATTATATCTACTAACATTTCATCTGCTGTTCCATAGTTACATTCATAAAAGGCATCTGTTGTTTACATGTAAATATTAAGCCGTGTAACTCTTCATTATGTTTTAGAAATCATTCCAAGAAGACATTGAGTCAAACTTCCCTCAAAGATTGAATTTAGATAATGGAAGTTCTAGTAGTTCTACCAAGTCCGAAATCATGATAGCTAACATTTATTAAGTGCTTATTTTGTGCCACTCGTTTAGCTGCTTTGTATTTATTAACCCATTCACATCCTATTGCATTCATATGAAACAGAAGTTATTATCCCCACCTTGTGGTTGAGGAACCGAGACCCAGGGATGCAAAGTACTCAGGGTCCCAGGGTGGTAAATGGTCGAGTCAGGATTTGAACTCAGGCATTCTGGCTCCAGAGCCTCTCATTCTTCAGCCAGTATGCAGTATTCCCCAGCATGATACTGGGGAAAACACAAACCCCAACAATTATTTGTTCACAGACAGAATCTGATATAATCATTGTTAACATAATTGAGTAAACAACGTAGAATTTACATGAAAAATACCATAACTACATATCCTCTATTATTATTGTGACCTAAATTGGGGAATAACTGTACTTAACTATTTAAAAACTTAAATATTACCAAAGTAACTATTTTTTTTTTCTTTTCAGCAATCTCGACACAGAAGAACTATGTGGTAAGTTGTGTTGGGAGAGGGGGAGGCAGTCAAACTCACTACTTGCTTTAGAATGAAAAAGAACGCCATCTTATATAAATTTCTATATACCCTAAAATTAATGTCCTAGATTAGGAATTTGGGAATATAAAAGATAATTGAGATCTCAAAGGATTTATCTTAACTGAGTTTTACTCAAGCATGTTTTTCATTGCAGAAAGAGTTGGGACTCAATTTGGTCATGGAGGAGAGTTATTTTGTTTGCATTTGGTACAATTAGTTTCTAGTAGAAAACTCTCCACTAGTTTGAATATATTTTTAAATTGGTGTTTAATACAACTTCATTATTCTTTTCAAATAGATTGCAAGACTGACCCCCCTTGACATGTAAAAACAACTCTGTCCCATACCTGCCTAAACAGTTTTGGAGTTTTAAATGTCACTTGCAAAACAAGTTTCAATGGAGAGAGGAATTTCTACAGATTCTTGATTTAATAGCCTCTTCTATTATTTTCTTCATCTTTGTGGTTGGAAACAAAAGTCAAAGGCTAGGACTGTGGGAAGGCAAATATTTCTGAGATTTATCTTTTGTTTTGAGTAAATTGTGGAGCACTGTGAGACTCTTCAGTGTGAAACAGCCATTTTTCTCTGAACACTGGAAGGTTTTAGGCTTTATGTTTTAAGATAAATATATAACACCTTGTCCAGGTTTGAGTTTATTGTCTAGGCTTCTTAGAAATAATTTTATAGATGATATTCTTTGAAACTCTTAATTGAAGTCATAAGCACTTCCTGAATATCTTATAATCCTTATAACTTTGAAGTTTACCAAATCATCACATAGTCCATTTTACAATATTCAAGAGTGGTTATCTTCCATTTCATCAAAAATGGTAGAGCAACACCAAGTGAGGATATGCCAAGACAATATATCAGAATACAAGCTTTCAAGAAAAGAACTCTGGACAACACAAATATGATAATCACCAACCATGAGGTTTCACATTTCCCAATGGTCATAAAAAACTCTATTTCCTGTTCCTGTATTGTGTCTATCTTGTATTCCGTGAGAAGAATCCAGCTGAAAAGCAAGCTGTTGATGCAGAAGCAAGGTATCTCGGTACTAAAGCAGTTCATGTTTTGTTAGTTATGAAACACTAGCAGAGAAAAACGGAGGAAATCCTGACATGCTTTTACACATAATCAAACCATGATCTGTCCACACATGGGTATTAAACTGTGCCAAGGAGGCAAAAGGGCCCGTGGGGACCCTGGCCACCAGGCTTTCTAAAGAACAGCAATTACGATCAAGGTCAAGTTGTGATCCATTCTCATCCATGGGCAGATGGTCCCTGCCAGTGAAGTGGAGAGATGAAGTAGGGAAATGGAGAAGATTATGTCAATAGTTTTGTGAGGTCGGGAGACCCATTTCTAGATAGGTTAGGCCAAAATAAGGATTTCCTCAAATCATCCACTTAATTCTTTTTGTTGTCTATTTAACTTTGTTTAGGTAGGCATGGCTCTTGAGAAAGCACACTGTTAAAAGGGCTTTTAAGATGAAGACATTTAGTGGTTCTTGTTTGCTATGTTGCTTATGTATTGCCATCAAACAGTATTACATTATCCTCTCAGTGTAATTGTGTATCTTCACTTAATCCGCTACAAAAAAAAAGTTTAATTTGTCTTCTATAATAATAGAACTCGATTAGAAGCCTACTCTGTACTTAGAAAAAGCTTTGGCTATGAATTTCCCCATAGTTAAGGAACTAGTATATGGGGTTTTAATGCAACCAAATTGCTCTGTATTTTTAAACCCAGTGATTGTAGTCCCAATTGTGTGTTATAATCCTCCCCCTCTCTGCTCAAGAATATGCATTTTAATTTCCAGAGTATAGTTTCATGTCTTGTTGTTTTGTAAATATAAA